CAGAATATTTCATTTTCTATGGTCTACCCATTACCTATTCTACATGATGTATTAACAGTCACAATGAAGAGTAGAGCACATTCAAGATCATAGAGATTGTGTACATATGTTCAGGGTGTGAAAGGGAAAGAGTGCATTGCAAACATATATGCCAACGTATCAATATATCTATTGCTCACTGACAAGTCCGAGAAGATCAAAATAAAGACAATACAATTATATTGCTGTCATATGCTTTCGATCTAAATTATGTATTTATGTTTACCGTGGTTTATATATTTATTTTCTATTTAATATCTGCTTTTGACATTTTGCTTTTTGACTATTCAACGTGGAGTCCTACATACAGACACTGATGCAGTAGGAAAACATATTAAAGCCTTTAATAACTTAAATAACATGTGGTTTACTTTACATATTATTCCAATGGGATATAGGGTTGTTGTAGCAGCAAAACATAAATAAATTACACATCGATCACTGCCCAAACAACCGCATCACGTCTGGTCCCGGGACCAGGATAGCACAACGGCCCGATACGACTAGTACATGGCAGGACTTAGAGAAGAAATATTGTCCGTCCCCATGTGTGTAAGAAATGATATGAAATGTCGGGATCTCGGCTGAAAGTATTTTCGTTCTGGCTACACACATATATTGGGGTGCCGTTCACATTTGCTGCATACATTAAATGAGATGGCACTCAATAGTCCAATATATATTAGGCACTCGAACTATTGTCAAACTAATCCCTTTTAGTCTATTTTTCAGTCTATTCACATACATTTACGGCAACTGTGTAATGAGATCATAACTCATTCAATTGCACCACGGAATATCAAAGTCGCCCAACAATCAACTCCTCAACAGACTTAAATAATACAGTATGAATAATATATGTAGTGGATGCTATATCTATTAAGTAAGGTGTCTTATAACATCTACCATCCTGGTATCCCCGGGTAGTGCTCATCGTCAATAAGGCTACAACCAATTGAACTTAAACAATGTGGATCTTTTATTCAATCTTAATCTAAATAACTCATCACATCAATAATTCAACATACAATTGGCAACGGCTCATTAGCCCATTAACTGTAAGAAACAAATACAGGATTTTTAATATAATGTCCTGTTCATTGACGAGTATTGAACTAACTAAAGCAGACAACTTTACAATGTTGTCTCTAAATATATGGCAAATAACAAAATTCAATAAACATAACATGTTTCATGTACAATTAATCACTAACCATATTAATCTACTTCGTGTCTACCTCAAAGTAGGACCAGTATTAATGCTGTTTATTATGTTAACTTCCATATTATCCTTTGTCGATCATAGAAAGGATAAAACTATCCTAAACTCATGAACAAAATACGTGTCTCATCGATTAGTGTTGCGTAGTTTCTAAAATAGACTGCAAAAGTACATGGTTTTCTAACTGAAAAAGTGTCAATACAAACATAAAATATTTCTAATCTTACCAAACTGATCGGCTAACCCGGGGAGTTACACTGATTCTTGGAACTCAATCGCTTCTATTTGAGTCACTTTATCTCTGAGATTCTATCTATTTGTGTCGAAAATACATCAACTTTCAACAGCATTATCTTTTTAAATATAACTCTTCAAATCTAAGATGGCCGATAAAAACGAAAGTATTGCCACTGGATGGCGCAAGTCACTGAACTGGTTTTACAATACGTTTACATGAGACTTGGATAAAGCATATGACCATCTCGCATTTGGCCACTCAATATATAAACAATTAAGTATATAAAAACAAATATTCAATTACACAACAATAATAATCTAAATAAAAATTCAGTGCTGTTTCAGTTATTCACCAATATATTTTAGCATCAACTAGTTTATATAATTTACAAGCTTGGTATCATTTACATTTCTTATAATAAGGAGAAAAGATTTTAATTTTCCTGTCAGAAATGTTCCACAACTTTAAAGAAATATACCATTCTGTCCTGCTTATTGGATGTATGCATTTCACAATGGAGTGTACATTTCACAACTCATTCGCTAGAAATTTGAAAGGTTTTTTGGCATACAAGATATTATGGTTTAAAACAATAACACAATTACACAGATGGTCTGAGATGGCATCAACTTGTCGCATTGCACCATTGTACTGTAGTTTGAAATGATATATGGCTGGTAACCTTTTAAATGCTAACGATTGGGAGTGGTACTTATGATATAACAACCCATTTGAGATCGAAAAACGGCTGATTTTGAAGTACATAATTAATTTACGTTTTCCTATTAGCTTCAAAGTTGGCTCTTTTGTATTGAGCTGTTTTTTTAAAAAAAAAGTATTAATAGACTTTCTAAAACCTAAAGCGGTTGTTCATATTTATTTTTAACCACTGAAACACGTTCGAGCGTCAAAATAATGTGTACACGAACCATGTTTGTAACACGAATATATTGTATTTTACACATTTATTATATAATTCAAAATGTCGTATAATTATTCTGATCGTTAGTGTTTTCAAAGTTACATACAATGTACAATCATGATTCTACGAATGTCGTGCCACTGTGAGGTCAAATGAAAAAAACTCTGTTGATATTTATTATTTATCTAATATGATATTCTAGTGTCCTCTAGAAGATTACAGTATGGATGAAATAGCCATTGTCCATCAGAAATTAAATCTGTGTTGGGTTTATTTTATCTCAGGTAAGATGCATTTACAAGATTAGGATTTACAATGTCACTCGGCATAGTTGTATCAAAATGGCCAACTGCGCTACATTGTGGCATATCAGTTGGGTTTAATACCAAAATGAAAAATATAATTAACATTATTGATATTTGCATTTGAGTTACACATATGCAAAAGACAGGTTGTTTATGACTAAAAAAGGTTTTTCAATGGTCATAGTTAATTTATTCGATACACCATGTGTTACTGCATTCGTGACATTCATAGATATAATTAGATTCACGATATAATTATAATTCAGATTGATGCAAACATGTTTTATATTTTATTGTATAATCTCAATTTTGAAACCTAACATATATGATTTACAAAATAAATTTGGGATAAATACACAGGAAAACATTTTCGCTATCTTATTGGATGTGAATGATCATAAGTCTGACTGAAAGTAGAATTAAGATTTGTCATTTCTTCTTCATTTCGCATAACCAAATAACTATTCGTCAAACTTTAATGTCCTGCATCAGCAATTGTTAATATAAAATCTAAAAGGTTGTATCACGTTTCGAATTTGTTTTTATAATTTTTTAAAACTTGGTACATCATATATATCGGTGTAGAACAGTACCGTCCAATTGCGCAATATACGTCATCGAATACGCCATCATTAAACTAGATGTCTCAATATAGAATGATAGAATGCCGCAGAGTTATTTAATCCACAATATTGTATACAAGAACACATTTTTATTTGTCAGTGGTATCTGTTAACACGTGTCCACACACATTGCCACAGTTTGGCGAGAACGATGCGATTATCAGAAAAACTAAGTCTGTTTGGATTCCTGGTTTACGTCCTGAAATGGATTGGTGGCCGAGCTCTAGATATATTTTATTTTTGCTAAACACTTGTGTGTTCGTATCAACTTACACGTTTCCTCGCAAAACTTTGAAATTGATTTTAATGATATAGAGTTTGTAGTAAATTGTTGAAAAGTTTATGTATCATTTGTTTTTAAAAATAGTCGGGGAAACTACGACCAATGGACACACTTTCCATCGGTCTTGAGAACGCATATGATACTGCGACCGTGCTACTTCTGATAGCCAATAACCTTAGACTGGGAAGTAGCCAGCCAACGTGATGTACTTTACAGTAGAAACAATGTATCCACTGGCCAATGTAAAAAAGGAATATCTGCGATATGGGAACTGGACAGGTGTTCATAAAGCAAGAGTCTGTCTTAGTCCGAGCAATACACGTTTTTTTTACATAAAAATATGTATGCTCTTGCATTGTGATTAGACCCGCGACGATAAAGCGAAATGAATAATTTCAATATAAATTGAATCACAATATTATGCAATGTTTAACATACGCCCAAAATACAAGCATTCAATGGAGTTCACCGCACACTACTTTTATTTGAAATATTGTTCAGAATTGTGTGTGAGAAATATTTCGAACAAATTCACAATCAGTGTACATGCAATCTGCTAATAATGATTAAAGCGAAGAGACAAAGAATTAATAACGAACGAATACACATTGTGTAGACCGTGCGCATCATGTTATGGCATTGGTTCATATTTAGTTGATGAGCAATCGTTACGACACGCCTAGAAGTAAAGACAAAAGAGTTAGAAAGTGGTTCTTCTAATATACGAACTAATATACGAAATACTATGATACACAAACTAGTACAAAGTGAATGACGTGACTCTCCTGGATACAGTAAATATAATACAATATAAATTGATTGGAGTACCTTTGCCCTAATATGATGTGTGAACGGGTTCCGTGGTTTTGTTATTAGATTTAACATTTGGTTATAAAACATTATTGTTAGAGTGGATGACGGGCTTTGTCGTGTTTATACACAGGACATGTTTAAGCGGCAGTAGCTGTGATTTTGATCATTTTTTAAATATAACCACATGATGACCCAAATAATGTTTAAGAAACATGTACTAATTGCACATACAATGCGATGTAAAATATAAGGGCCAAGTAGTCGATTGAAATTGGTCACGTCATGGGATGTCCGCAGAAAATTACGACGCACACTATTATGAGAAACTACACATGCAGTAATCAATGATAGTTTTTAATAGTAAGAGGCACAGGGTCAGTGGCACAGCCACTTCGACGTGTTATGTGTCTATCTGAACCACGAATTTGATATCTCCTCCAGAAATGATTTCCCAGAATACGGACTATAATGCATGTTGTTTACCAGGCATGTTATAACAATCAAGTTAAACTGATCCCAAAATGATACGACACGACTGCACATTTACTCACCGTATTATACGCACTCTACTTCCACTTCAAGATATTTGTAAGTACCAACGCATGGGTCAGGTCCAAATGTAGTACCGGTAAGTGTTATAGAGCATGCGTTGTTGCCTTCACAGGCTGATTGTACTACAGACAAACTAGTTGGTGAATGACAATCTGTATCACTAACAGCCGCATGTGGGCAGGTACTAGCTCCATCAGTACGTCCATAGTTTGCAGATACAATATGGATTGATTTATCAAAGCAATCCAATTGCATTGGACTGTCATTGTAACAGGTAATAACAGTGAAAGGGAGAACAGCGGCAACACCTAGCCAATGGAAATAAATTGGTCGTTATTAAAAGGAGAATTATGCATTATGTACGATTCTAATATCTAGATTTATTTAAATTTTAAAGCTTATTTTAATTTTTATTTAAATCTTCTATTGTCGCTAGATAATATTTTGTGACTGGTAATCATATATCAAAGCTGGTTATATCATGATACTAGCATTTATAGTATGAAGATATTGAATTATCCCACTATTTCCTCACTAAAACGTTCAATATTAGTGTCGACCCACTAATCCGAGTTTGGATATTTTATAGGGAACGTCACATGATATTGAAAGTTTATACATTTGATGTTTTGTTTACTCCAAGTGTACACACGTGTTTTAGTATGCGTGTTGAAATGCCCAACAAAAATGTTTATCGTCATGCTGTATTTGTTAAAAGTACTCACATTCATAATCCACTTCAAGGTACTTATATATTCCATAGCAAGGATCGGGACCAAACGTCGCACCCTGGAGTGGCACGGAACAAAAACTACGACCTTCACAGTAGTTTTGTACTACGGATAGACTGGTTGGTGAATGGCAATCGGTATCACTGACATGTGTATGGGGACAGGTACTAGCTCCATCAGTACGCCCATAGTTGGCCGACAAAATATGAATGGACAGATCAATGCAACTCAACTCCATTGGACTATCATAATAACACGTTATTGCCGATGAAGGTTGTTCAAGTTCCCCAGGAATCTGATTACCTGCAAAGTATTGGTAGAAAATTTAGTTTGTTATATAAGTTATTAAAGATTAATTCGTGAGAAATTTGCAATATGAATGAGAATAATTTTCATGAAATTTGATACGGCTTTTAAACATCATGGTCATACTGAGGATGTGTTCTTTCCTGCGACTAGGAGCAAGAGCCACACAAACAGTATCCTGTTCATAACATTTTTATTATACACCTTATGGGTTCCATTAAAAATAAATGCAATTACTTCGAGCTTCTGTCGATCGGTTGTTGTCGCATACGACTTATTTACCACTTCCGTGTCACTGAGAATGTTCTAGAACCGTACTGTGTCTGGGTGGAATATTCTAGATTTTTTTTTAGAAACTGGTTGAATAGGTAATAGAACACTGTAGGAGGCAATATAAGGTAATGGAACATTCTAGAAATTTGTAGTAAGTTCCAGACTCATTATGTATGCTGATGTAATGGTCTATTCATAGACAGTGTGGGTATATA